TTTTCTTTTTGTTACTCTCCTCTTCAAAGTTGTGTAGTTGCCATTTGCTCCTGAGCAAAATATATATATATATATTTATATATATTTATGTATGCATGTGTGTATGTATATATGTATATCGGTGTGTCTGCCTTGCAGATTTGACAGGGCGCGCGGTGTCTTGCTCTTGCCGTGTCGCGGGAGACGCCTCCGTTACCAGCCCGCACAGCGGAGAAGAATAGACGCGTGTCACACACACGCCACTGTTTCTCTGTCTGTACACCCGCAATGACGTGCATGGATGGCGGGTGCACGGCTGCTATATATATATATACATATACCTAGTTATTTATATATATATATATATTAGATATTACATCGTGTTTTTAACTTGCTATGGGCGGGGGTGAAGGCGCCGCGTGAGGAGTGAGTGCGCCCTGCAGCCAGCGTGATAAGTACGCGTCTGGGATGCAGTCGTGGTGTGTGTATATATTATATACATATGTATATGTACGCACATGCATGCATGTGTGTGCGTGCGCAAACAATGCCCGAGGGGAGACGGCGGGTGCGGCTGGGGTGCAAGCAGAGCAGGGGAGGGGACGCAGAGCTGGACCCTTCTCTTTCCGTGCCGCACCTGCTCTTTGCCCCCCCTCCCCCCACGTTGCCTCCTCCGTGCCAACGCACACCCACGTCAATGGGGTCATCGCAGGAGAGTCGAGGGAGGGGGAAGGGGGCACCGCATCGCTGTTGTTGTTGTGTTTGTTGGTGTGTGTGTGTTTATTTGTTCTTGTTGCAGCTTCATCGCCGCCCTGAGGTGCGTGCCCGTACCCGGTCTCCTTGCCGCCACTCACTGCATGTAACTTCCACTCCCCCCGCCGGACCCTCTCGCGTCGTCGCCCGCGGCGAGGGATCCTGCACGGTGCGTCGCCACCAGCGTGTTTCTTCGCCTCTCCCCCTTTGGAGTTCTTTTCGCTGCGTACATCGGCACGGCGCAGGGCGTGGGCCCCGGACTCTGACACCTGTGCGAGCGGAGAGGGAACGGCGGCGACGCCCTCCCCCCCCCCCCACCACACACACAGAGAGAACAGGGGAGCAAGAGAGAGAGGTAGAGGCAACGAAGAAAAAAAAAAAATAAATAACCGAAGAAGAAGGGAGGGGGAGACGGCCCCGCGCAATGACGCCGCATAGCAGCGACGCTGCCGCGAAGCCCGAGAGCGACGCGGCAACGCGGCTTGATTTTTATCTCCCGCCGCCCGACCACCGCGCGTACCGCCGTGGGAAGATTCAGCGGCTGCGCGACCAAATCACCGCGTGGCGCCGCCAGTCGCGGGGCGGCGTGGCCCAGACCTCCGCCAGGGGCGGCTCAGCGGACCTGCCGCTCTGGAAGGCGGCAAACGCCACTCCCACGCGGCGTAACGTGTCGCGGCACGAGAAGGTGCTCCTCCTCTCGCGCGTGGCGCCGACCCCGCGCAGCGGGCGGCGCACACCCTCCCCCGCCCCGCACGGGGACTCCCACGAGAAACCGCTACGCCTGGCGAGCTACACCAACACGCTCAACAGTAATACGCGCGCAACGCCGCTTCTCGGCCGAGTGACGGAGGTGCCGTACTTTCACGATCACACCATCTTTTGTCTGCCAAGAGACAGGCGCGCCGTTGCCGCGACGGCTGCTACTACGGCCGCCGCCTCCGTTGCGGCCGCTGAGACTTCTGGCACTTTGGACGACAGCGACGGGGCTCCGCGTGCGGAGCCGGGTGTTTGCTTCTGCTACGGCGTCACCTCAAACAGCGAGGAGATGGCACGCCACTGCGAGCATGCGAGCCCTGCGGGGAAGACAACCAACAGTGGGGCGACGCCCCCTGTGAAGAGTACAATTAGCAGCAGCTCTTTCAAGGAGACCGCCTCCTTCTCTTTTTCCTCGCCGGGGTCGAACGGCTTCAGGGCGGCCTCTGCCTCTGCCTCAGCCTCGGCGGCGGCGGCGTCGGTCTCGGCAAAGCGCAAGGCTCTCACGGTGGACTCGTCCTTTGCCACGAAGACGCAAAGCGTGGAGTTGGCCATGGCCGTGCACGCGGAGCGGACGCGGCGGAGCTCGACAATGCAGCGGCCGCAAAGCGAGAGCCTGCGTCAGCGCGTGTTTGAGCGGACGATGGAGATACCTATTGACTGGAGAGAGTTTGAGCGCCTGTCCTCAGGCTGCAAGGCGTCTCCTCCCGCCACACTGCTGGAGGAGCGCGCTAGTACCCCAAGCCTCGGCCACACCCGCCTCACCGCGACGTCCGCCACCGGCACCGAGGGCCGGGTGCCAATGCGGCTCTACAACATCTGCATGAAGCGGCGCCTGGCGAACTCGGAAGGCTCGATGGAGAAGGCTTCCAGCTTCCCGCGTCTTGGGACTCGCGTGACACTCTCCAAGTCATGGGTGTAATAACGGTAGAGCTGACGGCCATGTATGATTCGGGAAGCAAAGAAGAAAGCAACAAGGAAATGAAAAATAAAAAGAGAGCTGAAGAGGAAAAATAACAACAAACAAAAAAAAGGAAACAACTGAGCGGAACGAAAGCAATCCAAGAGCAACAGCAGAGCGAGTAGTAGGAGGGTTTTTAGTATGTAAATAATGCCACTTGGTTTTGCGCGCACGTCAATTTGTGTCTTGTGTGTGTGTGTTTGTTTGTGTGACGGACTCCGGTTTCTTTCGTAACTGCGGAGTTGCTTCCAGAAGCCACGCGTGGTGCTGGCTGCGGTGGGGAGGGATTTAACCTTAGCAGGAAATTTATTCTTTCCCAGTTGCCCATT